GTGGCAGTTCTACTCTGTTCGACAGGGTCCCTGTGAATCAGAATTGACTTGATGGCAGTGGGATTGGTTATCATCTGCATGGCTTAGTTTTTAGATCTGCAGGCTTTTCTATTTGAGCTTTGAGCTGAAATACAGATGCACCAACTATGAGAAAGAAATGAAAGCTGTCACCAGTGTCAGCAGCAAAAACTGGGTGTCCATCCCTCACAAATTATGGACATCTGTATTCCTAATTGGCATCCTTTAGGGCTGTGCCAGCAGAATGGCAGTGCCAGGAGAGTGTGACAGCTTTAGAAAGGAATAGGCGTCAGGGTTAAGTGTCACTTATTAGTCAGTGAAAGTTCTTTTGTGTGGAGTACTCTCCCTATCTTTGCTATAATACTGGCAATTTTTGGTTTCAGGAACCTCCAAAGGCACCTTTTATCAACACTAAATCTGCTAGTTTTAAAACAAATCAGTTTATGATCTTAGGCAACCAACTGGTATTGATGGTTATATGATCAGAAGATCATTGGAAAAGATGCATACAAATAGTTAACAAGGTAATGGTAAGAAATGTTGACCTTGATTTGTTTAGCTAAGATGTAAAGATTTTTGAAGGTCAAAGGTGTCCTTGTGTAGTGTTTTGGAGTCTAACTGTGTCTGACCCTCTAACATTAAGCTGCTGTGGCCTGCAGTTTTGAAGAGTGAAGCAAACCAGGGGGAAAGAGAGAAGGGGGAGAGAACAGGAAATGGAGTGAGGTGTTTCAGGAAGTTGTCAGGAGTTGACTGATTGATTCCAGATGGAAAGGGTCAGCCTTCGTGACCCAGGAAATACTCACTAGGGGAAAGAAGTTGGCTTGTGGAAGGGGAAGGCCTGGGAGTGAGACGATGCTGGAATGCACATTCCACTTCCTTTAGTCTTAAAACATTCAGAAATTTTAACTTCTCTGAGTAGAATAATATCAATGTTGTCATCGGTCATCAGAAAGCAGTGAAGGAAGTTAAATTTGAAACTTTGAATGTACCAAATGTATCTACACCTCCATAATGCAGCTCATTCTTCTACAAGTAGAGCAAATTTATATGTGTGTAAGTATGTATCTCAGTAGATAAGAACAACAACCAAATCTATTTAATTTCATGTTGTGGAATTAAACTCTTAACATGTTGCAAATTCATTTTAATTAGGCTGCTCTAGGTACCTCACAGTTTAAGATATTTGAAATATTAAAAACTGGAACTTGCCATGGATGTATGTGTGTGCATATATACGTATACATACACACACATACGTGCATGCACACACATACACATTTGGACATAATTTAAAATCTTGCAATAAATTTTGCAGACACTGAAATAATTCAGGTTAATTCCCTTGCTGTCATGAGAGGCCAGTGCTAGCCAGCAAGAGATTAAAATTTATTTCCATTGTTAATAGAAAATAATGAAGTGCATCTGAACGATCAGGGTATGTCATTCGGGAAATGTTCACTTTGGAACTAAGTCTCACTCCACCCAAATGGACAATGATGAAATCAACTGGCTCATGAAAGCCTCGTATTTTGTGACAGGAATGCATGAGGAATATTAACGTACAGTATGACAAGAACCTTGTGGAATGAATTAAAGTGGTCTCAAAGAGAACACTCTTTACATCCACATAATCCTCAGACAGGGCAAGGGTTCTCCTCTGTGTGCCTAGTCCAGCTCATTCACAATTAAAGTTTGAAATGCTGGCTCATTTTTTCTCCAGAGATGACAGCTGTGTCTTTGAAAAATCCACTCGCTACGCCATGTTTTCTTCTGCCCCTTCTCCTATTATTTTCCTATATGTGAGCCTGATCAGGCAGTGTTTCGTTCTGTTATACATAGGGTCGCTATGAGTTAGAGCCGACTCGACAGCACCCAACAACAACAACAACAGCAAGCATGTACAGAGGGGATGCTTTCAGCCTGTACATTTGTTTCAACCCTGTGACTGTGAAGCACAGCCTCTCCCGTTCACTAAGATGTGATTTTGGGCTGTGTTGAGATCCCTGTGATAAGAACCTATGCCTTGATGAGCTTGTGAAAAGTGATGGATGTCTGTTGTCTTATGGTTGCCACACATAATAGCAACTTTTTGGATGGACTTTTCCCAGCCATGTGTACATGTTAACAGTATGTTAACATGTACACAATGAAAACAGACCCAGAGGTAGACAAGCTGCATCTCTGAATTATGAGCAATTATATTGATCATAACTTTCTTAATGATAATCTGGATTTCTTTAAGTTAATTCTTATGTCATAGAGTGACAAGACAGAGAACCATCCCACTATGTTGTTGTTATGTGCCATCGAGTTGGACGTGACTCATAGCGACCCCTCCTATGGTTTCAAGGCAGTATCTCTAGGGAAGTAGATTGCCCCATATTCTTTCTGAGGAGTGGCTGGTGGGTTTGAACCACCAGCCTTCTGGTTAGCAGTCAAGTGCCTTAGGCACTATGCTACCAGAGCTCCCCCATCCCACTATATCTGTAGTGTATTCACAAGGAGAAATTGAAACATGGAAAAGACATGTAAGAGACTGGGAACACATTTCTGGTCATCTTTGAATTCCCATGACCGGTCATGATACCCGACACATAATAGGTGTTCAGTAGATACCTGTTGAATTGAATAAATGATACCCACTTATATCCATGAAAAATTTCCCATATATTATGTCCATGGGACCTTGGGCATGTAGACAAATGAAATATTTTGTGGAATTATATGTTTTAGGGGTTCTCCCAAACCTATTAAATTAAAAAAAAATTAAAAGATGCCATCTAAAACATCTATTTAAGATGAAAATATCAGAATTGTGTGCCTGGGGCTGGGGATTGGCCAGCAAGAGACAAAGGAAAACTTTCTGGGAGATGGGCATGTTCTATATTGTGATAATGGTATGGGCTATGGGAATATATCCATTTGTCAAAATTATGCAGCTAAGATTTGTACTTTTCTATGTATGTAAATTTTACCTAAAAAAATCCCTTTGATGATTATCATCACCATCACTGGGTAGGAGATGAGATGGAGGTGGTGGTACAGATGAAATGAGAATGGCAATATTCTGACAATTATTGAAGCTGGATGATGGGTACCTGAGGGTTCATTACTCTGTTCTGTTTATTTGAAAATTTTCATAATAAAAAGTTTTAAAATTGTCATCTAATATATCTTCTTTTATATTAAGAGGTAAGACATCTGTATTCCTAATTGGCATCCTTTAAGGCTGTGCCAGTGGAATGGCAGTGCCAAGAGAGTGTGACAGCTTTAGAAAGGAATAGGCGTCAGGGTTAAGTGTCACTTGTGAGTCAGTGAAAGTTCTTTTGTGTGGAGTACTCTCTCTATCTTTTCTATAATATTGGCAATTTTTGGTTTCAGGAACCTCCAAAGGCACCTTTTATCAACACTAAATCTGCTAGTTTTAGAACAAATCAGTTTATGATCTTAGGAAACCAACTGGTATTGATGGTTATATGATCAAAAGGTAAGGCTGAGCCAAGGTTAATTCCTTCATATAATAAATAAGGAAGAAGTGGCAGAGAAATAACAAGTAGAATTTCAACAAATCTAATTTCGGGGTAGGCAGGAAGAGCCAATTTTAAACACTGCTTCTCATTATGTACCTACTCAATGCCTTTCTCCGGAAGGTCTACACATAAGCATGAGTATGCATATAACAGGTGCATTTCTCAAAAATAAATTGCTGTGCATAACTGACTTGAGCTGAGAATAGACGTATCTCTAGGATGGCTCATCTTTCTGGATTAAGGAACTTGGCACTGCTCAAGTTCAGTCTCTCCCACTACACCTTCCCTAACTGCCTTGGCCTTTGCAGATCACCTTTTTGAACTTCTCACACACCTCTGATCTGCAGCACACGTGATAAACTCAATTAGATACCATATTGCATGCCACATTTAGTGTTAACCATGTTTTTCCAGCTTGAAAACAAGCTCTTTGAGGGTAGGGGTCATGTCTTGTAACTTTTGGTACTTAGCCCCAACTCCTCTTTTATAGAACCTCATCCAGAATTTAGAATATGGGAGAGTCTTAATGAGTAAAGTCATCCATCTTATTGACTGGTTGAACAAGGCAGAGGCAAGGGAAATAGGATGAGAACTCATCTGAATTTGGCACCCACCAGGTTCTGCACTAAATGCTTTACATCTGTCATCTCATTTTATCCTCACAAAAGCCCTGTGAGGTAGGTATTGCTGTTTACATTTTATAGATAAAAGAACTTATCTTGGGAAAGTTAATTTGTCCAAGGTTACAAATTTAGAAGTTGCCGGGTCTATTTTTTTTTTTTTTTTCCAAATTCATGCTAGTCTACTATTCTACACCCAACTTTTCCATTTCCTCAAGTTAGATACTAAATGTCCTTCATTTTCAAAACTGAATTCTGGAAACCTTATATTCTCACCAACTGTGATGTCTGTGCATGTCTGCTCCTGCTTTCCATTGAGCAGGGACACTATAAGCAAGTGATCAGCCAGCATCTTGAAGCCCAGCTTTGGGTTAGGGCATATCAGAATGACAAGAGCTGATTCCTGAGATTTGAAAAGTGATCTTCCAGCTGGAGTTTATATCTTACCTTCCTAAACACACACAGGCTGTTCCTAGTGGTGACTACTGCTCAAGGATCATTGGGAATGATCCAGGTTATCTGGTAGAGAACAAGGTTTCTGAAACCAACAGGCAGATGACCAGAATGCCCATTTCATTACATGGGCATAGTATTTGAACACAATAAATGACAACACATGGCAAAGGGGAGCCAGCCTCTTTTCCCAAAAAGTTCTGGTGTAATTACAGGAGAAGAATAGCCCATTGAGATGCCAAGAATGTGACCCTATCCCAAGTTCTGTTCCATATCATATTCACCATATGGAAGTCTGGCAAAAAAGAATTCTGGTGCATTCACTACTTTATGTAAAACTAACCTCACTGCCCCACTCTACTTCTCTTTAAATATGCAGGTTGTGTTGTCAACAACAGTGAACGTGGATGGACATGTGTTGGCTGTTTCTGACAATATGTTTGTTCATAACAACTCTAAGCATGGACGGAGAGCAAGAAGACTTGATCCTTCGGAAGGTACGACTGTCTGAGTTGAGAATGGTAGATAAATGAAGTTCTCTACAAATTTCCTTGTTTGAATTTCAAATTTATGTCTGTGAGTAGGAGTGGGAAACAGGCACAATATCACGTGGGTTTAAAAATGAAGGTGTAAGTGCTGACTCTAGCCTGCACTATTATAATCCCCATGCCTCACCCAGCCCATGCCAAAGTGCCCATGCCTCATTCTCTCTTCCATTCAATTCTGTGTTTTTCTTTTTGCTAGACGAGTGTTTCAGGAATATGTAGGCCTGTGACATCTTAGTTAAACAGGAACATTACAGTGCCAGACATGTATGAATAAGTGTCAGATATGCCCTTAAACAAATTGTAAGCAAAACAAAACAATGTGCAGAATGAAACTGACACTAATTGATTTTTGTTTGCTTGGACAAGAAGAAATCATGGTCTGCTCTGGGTAGTTTTCCAAGTGCATTAAAGTAATTAGAAATATCAGTAACTGTTAAACTTCAAGTTGTCTAAAAAATTAAAATATATCAATTAAGACAACTGACAAAACTAAATGCATTCCATCTTAGTTCTTCTCCTTGCTTCCATAATTCCTGACTCACTGGTATTGGAAGGCATAATAATATAGAATGAAAGTCCAAACTAGGCAATAATTTTTTGTGTGATGTTTTGCTGTATACAAGCCCCCAACCCAACTTACTCTTTAAAATGTGCCTTGTATCATTTTAAATAAGAATTAATGAACTGAAAGAAAATGATTGAATCAGTAAAGAATTTGGAGTGGTGTTAATTCTCCTACAGTGGGCACTGAAAGAGGAGAAGAAAACCCCAGGGTTCAGAACTAGGAACCTATCCAGTTTTCTCTTGACTGATTGGATGTGATTGACTGGCTGTTCAAAGGAGGCTCATGTTTTTGGAGTCCTGCCAAAGTTCTCCTTCACCTTTGACCCTGTCAACTTTGGAAATGGAGTGATGGATTGACTTTAGTTATGGCCTGAAAGCCATATTGGGTTCCTGTTGGGATGTAAAGTCCAGAGAACTTGAACATATGGAAGAAGGGGAGAAAATCCTTCCTAAAAAGTTAGTAAAGTGATTAGAAATTGTCTCTTTATAGAACTGAAAAAATCTTAAACTTTGATAGATTTTGTTTTCTCTTTCTCTCTAGCCTATTAACAAGCCTTGTCAACCTTAGCATCTTGTAGTCTAGGGCAGAGGAGGTGGAGAGAGAAAAAGGATTTACACATTTCCAGTGTGATCAACTTACAAAAATATGGGAAAAACAACAGAGTTTTAAAAACACCTTTTGCACAATTAGCTAAGTGTTTCACTTTTTCATACATAATGGCCAACTCATTAGGTTTTAATGGCCTGGTGAAAACCAACAACCAATTAGGGAGGGTTGGCAAATCAACAAAGCACAGCTTGAACTCTTTGGAATGACAAACAGCTTTCAGGAGCAGCCCATCCCAGAAACACCAAACTTCAACCATGGAAGGACAGACCTGACTTTTTTTCTTTCCTGTCATCTTAGCTACCCCCTGCATCAAAGCCATTAGCCCAAGCGAAGGCTGGACCACAGGAGGAGCTATGGTCATCATCATTGGGGATAACTTCTTTGATGGTCTCCAAGTGGTGTTTGGGACTATGCTTGTGTGGAGTGAGGTAGGCAGAGGCAACTTGCTTCCCTGATTTCCATGGCCCCAAAATTATTTTGATCCTGGGAAAACTAATAATTCCTGGAGCATCAGCAGCATTGTTGAGTGTCTACAATGAGCAGGGAAGCAGGATAAGAGACATGTAAGTCATCATTCAATGCAAAAACAGATCCCACAAAGAGATAAATATTAATTGTAGTATTATTTGTAATGGTGAAAAATCAGAAATAGACTAAATATTGGACAATAGGAGAATGGCAAAATAAATTATGGAATATCATTCCACTATTGAAAGTATATTTTGAAACATTTTTAATGACATAGTAAAAGGGAGAATTTTTACACTATTATGCTAAGTTGGGGGAAAAGTCAGGACCACAGTGTCTGTGGATGCAGTATCTAATTATAAAACATGCACCCATAAAAAAAATTTGGAAATGCACCAAATATTAATATTTGGTTGCCTCTGAGTTATGCAATATTAATATTTTTCTTTAATTTTCAAATTTCCTACATTGGATATGTTTTACTTTCATACTCAGAAAAACAACAACAACAAAAATGCATTACAGAAAGCTAATTACCAGTGCTAAGTTAGGTTTACATATTGCCCAGTTGTATAGGATCATAAACAGTCTAGGAATTCAGAAGGATAGCAGGGCTAGGGTGTGGGGACCAGGAGGAGGGAGTGACTTGAGCAAGAAGAAAGGAAAGGACCTAGATCAGTTGGGTTGAGAGAAAATTCCAGAGTGAGAGGTAGAGAGAATGAGACACAGGAGAAGGGGTGTTCAGAGTGTGTGTGGAGCCCAGTGAGCACACCATTTAGCTTGGAGCAGACAGAAGCCTGGGAGAAGTCCTCTGTGATGACCTGTGTAATAGGTATTTCCCCCCCACCTGTTCACTCCTCAGCTAATCACTCCTCATGCCATCAGAGTGCAGACTCCTCCTCGGCACATCCCTGGAGTGGTGGAAGTGACATTATCTTATAAATCCAAACAGTTCTGCAAAGGAGCCCCTGGGAGGTTCATTTACACAGGTAGGTGAGAGAATGCCAAGAGAGACTGGCTCTTGATTCACCTTTGCCCTTGTTTTCAGTGAGACATTCTCTCCACTTTATAGTCGTTCTAATTTTTCTAGATCTTTCTACTAGTGTGGTAAGAGTGACCTGGGTGATAGAACAATGAATGGAGAAATGTAGACTCAATTCTAAATTTGTATTTCATTTAGATGGGAGCTCTGGTAGCGCAGTGCCTAAGGCATTTGACTGCTAACCAGAAGGCTGGTAATTCAAACCCACCAGCCACTCCTCGGAAGGAAGTTTGGCCAATCTACTTCTGTAGTGATCCTGCCTCGAAAACCCAAGGAGTGGTCGCTATGAGTCGGATCTGATTCAATGGCAGTAGTCTCTCTCATTTCATTTAGAGAGCTCTGCATGGTCTTGGAGATGGTCATGGCAGTTCATTTCAGAAGTCTTACAGATTTAACTCTGCTGTAATAATGCTATAATAGTCTTTTGTCCAAGCAATCAAAGTTGATAAATAGCTAGACAAAATTGTTAGCTGTAACTAAACCTCCTTGGAAATGATTCAAGATGTTTATGACTTATGGCAATTATGCTCCAAAGTGTCTCATATTATTTAAAAAGTTTATGAAAGTGGAGATCATCTATTACTTTATTATTGAATGTCTGTTTTATGCCTACTACTTTTTTGTAGGTGGAAGGTATAGGCGACATATAAGACACATTCTTTATTTGGAAGATTAGAAACTTTTGGAGGAAGATATAGAATATATCACAGAGCAGACGGAGAAATAGTTCAGGATGTTTGCTATTTCCAAAGAATGGAATAAGAGTTTCAGAAAGAGAGTTTAGTGTGGGGGTAGAGTGTTGGGATGGGGTTTCAAGGAGGAGATGGAAACTGAAGAATATTTTTAAAGATGGGAAGATTCGGATGGGCAAAGAGAACAGAGACAAATTTTCTGACTGTGGAGAGTCACATGTGGAAAGCCACAAAGAATGAAATAAGCACAAGGACAGAGGAGTGAGGAGGGGCTTGTTCAACAGTGATAGCAAGTGCATTAGGATAGATCTTAGACCAGAATGCAGACTGGATGAGATAGACACTGGAGGGAAGGAATTTATAAAACACCTTCAAGGCTTGTATGGTAGTTTGAACTTGGTTTGACAAGAAATAAAAAGACATTGAAGGATCTCATCCAAAAGTGTTATCTTAGGAAAAATAAATAATAATAATAATAAAAAGATTAGATAGTGGGAGGGCAATTGAAGGCAGGGAGATTGATTAGGATAGGGTACTTTCTTTTTTTTGTGTGTGTGATTTGGGTGAAAATTTACAGAGCAAATTCACTTTCCATAGAGCAGTTCACATACACTTTGTCTCATGACATTGACCACAGTTTACCACAGTGCAACAGCTCCCCTCCCACTTTCTCCCAATAGTTACCTCTTCCCGGTGTCCATCCCTCCATGCACTCCTGCCCCCTGAGCTGTCTCCCTGTGCATAAATAGTCCTTCTTTCTCCCATGATTGTTCTCTCCAAGGAGTGTATCTACCTCAGGTAAATGTTCAACTCATACACCTGTCTTTTGATCGGCTGGAAGCCACAGGTATGGGCTAGGGGCCATAGTTTCAGTGGTTCCACTAGACTCTATCGGACCAGCAAACCTGGTTACCCCCTTTTATTTTCTCCAAATGATTTTGAGTTTTGTTCCACATTGTTCTCCCTCTCTAGGATAGGGTACTTTCAAAGAGAAAATAAGAGATAAAGAGAAAGAAACACATAGACCAAGATAAACATCAGACACATTACAAAATTTTAATAATAATAATATTTTATTTTTGATGTAGTCTTTTCTCATTTGGACCCAGTCTCCTATTCTCAATAAGTGTAAATGGTTAGTTAGATATCATTTAGTAGTAGGTGAAAAAGAGAAGTTTACTTAAAATTTTGTGTTTGAATTTTCTTTCCTGAGCTAGGTACATCTTGGTTTGCCTTTTTGTGGATCTATGGAAGATTCTATTTCAATTGCTATAAACAATTGACACCACTAGCTTTCAAAGAGATATAGTCTGTTCATTCTTTCATTCATTTATTCATTAATTCAAACTAGTATTTATTACATGCTTACCATGGACTGGCACAGCACTAGGCTCTGGAGTATAGAAGAGATTAAGATAAAGTCTATACCTTCATATAGCTTATTTTCTAGAGGAGGAGACAGATAACAAAGAAGATAAGTGATATAATTTCAAATAGAGTAAGTACAGTGTAGAGAATGAGGGAGTGCTTTGGACAAAGTGATCAGGGAAGTTCTCTCTGAGGAAGGACATTGAGCAGAGGCCTGAATCATGTGAAGGTGCCAGCCATGGAAATACCCATCCCTCTCCCCTCCTTTTATGTCTGAGTACTTCTTTCATTCTCCCCTTCCTCTGTTCCATTCCCATTGACTTCCGTTCTGTCCCTAGAATAGCTCAGAGCTGTTTTTCTGTTTTATTCACTGATGTTCACTAGAACAGTACCTGGTAGTCAGTGAATCAGTGGGAAGAGTGTTCTAGGCAAGAGGAACGATCCTGATAAAGGAATGAGCTCAGTATCATCCAGGAAAGGGGCAAAATGCCAGTGCAGCTAGAGTAGAGGAAGCAGTGAGGAGATGAAGTAGGAAGCACAGGCATGGGCCAGGGGTTTGGATGGGAGGAGACGAGGATGTTGGGTTGGGAGCAATCAGCTTGTAGGTAGGATCTCAAGCCTGGGGATGCACAAGAGCACCATGGAAGGGAGTGTGCCTAGAGAAAGGAGAAATAAAGACAGTGCCTTGAAAACACCAACATGCAGATTCAGGAAGATAAGGAGGAGCTTGTGAAGGAGATTGAGGAGGAGTGGTCAGCAGGGAAGGAGGAAAGCGGGCTGTCCCTGAAGTCAGGTGAAAAATGGATCTCTTTCTAGGACACATTTTATGTACAGGGCTTCTGGCACCTCTGGTTTCTCAGATACTGACTGTGTGGGTGATAGGTCTGGGTTGTGAGGAGATAGGTAGGTATAGTAATAAATCATGCTACAACCAATCCTCACCTCTCTATGGAAGTAAAGAATGATCTTGTGCTCAGTGTGGCTGCAGACATTGGGGGTCAGGTGTTATGTGCATGTGCAGGTATGCACACGTGTGTGTGCACGTGTAAACTTCCTCTGAGAGCAGAGACTCTCAACCTTGGCTGCACTTTAAATCACCAATGCCTAGGTGGGATCCCAGAACAATTAAATCTGAATCTCTGAAGGTAGGACCCAGGCCTTGGTGTAATCCTTATATTAATTGAACAAGCATGCACTAGATATTATACTCAAGGCATAAAATCAATAAATCAGTATGCCTCTAGCAGCTTACAGTGCTAGAAGGGGATATGGACCCTTCTAGATTACAATAATTGGGAGCTCTGGTAGCATAGTGCCTAAAGCACTTGATTGCTAACCAGAAGGCTGGAGGTTCAAACCCACCAGCCACTCCTTGGAAGGAAGATGGGGCAATCTACTTCCATAGTGATACTGCCTTGGAAACCCAAGGAGGGGTCGCTATGAGTCGGGTCTGACTTGATGGCACATAACAATAACAACAACAGATTACAATAATTAGGTTAAGTATCATAATAGATGTAAAAACAAAAAGTGATGTAGAGCACTGAGCTGGGACTGCATAACTCTGAGGAATCAGTGAAGACTACACAGAGGAGGTAACAGTTGAGTTACATTTTAAAAGTGAAGTAAGAATTTTCCAGACAGATAAAAGAGGCTATGGTCATTGGTTTTATAAACACAGTACTTGACAAAATAGGAACTCACATAGCCATGAAAAGAATAATTGTTACATGCAAATTCAAGAATTTTAGAAATAAAGAGACTTTGAAGAGCATCTGGTCAAGTTTCCTCTTTTGTTGATGAGAAAACTGAGACCCAAAAGATGTGACCTGCTCACAGCTGATTCCCATATCACAAATACTCCTATCATAGCTGATTTCCAGGTACCAACACAACATCAACTGGCTTGCAAAATTGCTAAAAATTTAACAACCTGCTCTCACAAGGTGGTACAAATCAGGTCTAGGATACATCTGCATGTACAACACTTGAGCTGGAGATGGACCCATGTATGTATATTACTCCAAAAAGTATTTGTTATTGATATTATTGTTATTATTATCATTGAGAGTGCTTGAACAAGGAGTTACAAATGTCCTGAGTACTAAAAAGGAGTTGTATAGGATATTAGGATTGTGTATCATGGGAATATAGCCTTCTTAAACTGACATGACAGGGAAGGCTAAGAACAGTCCCAACAGAGGAAACAGTATGTGCAAAGTCCCTGAGATGGGAAAGCGCATGAGACGTATTTGATGGCCACTATGAACAGGGCAGAGAGAGTAAGTTAAAGAGAGGCATGAGTTTAAGCTGAAAGGGAGGGCAGGGGCCAGGTTACAACAAGACCCATTTTTTTGACTCTACCCCAACTACCACTTGAGTGCTAACCAGAGGGCTGGTGGTTCAAACCCACCAGTCACTCCTCAGAAGGAAGGTTGGGCAATCTACTTCCATAGTGATACCACCTCGGAAACCCAAGAAGGGATCGCTATGAGTCAGGTCCGACTCGATGGCACATAACAACAACTACCAAGGGGAAGTATTGGAATATTTTTAAGCTGAAGAATGCCATGATCTGATTTGCCCTGTAAAAGATCCCTATGGCTGCAGTGTAGAGAATGGTTTGGAAGTAGGGTGGAGACTGGGAGGTCAGTTTGAGGCCAGTGTGGTTGTCCAAGCCAGAAATGATGGCAGCTTGGACTAGAATGCCAGTAGTGGGGACAGGAAGAAGTAGATGAAATTTAGGAGGTAACATTGACAGGACTTGATGATTGATTGGATGGGGTGATGGTTGGCAAGAGGAGGGAAGGGGATGATTCTCAAGTTTCAGGTTTGAAAAATTGGGTGGGTATAGTTTAGAAAGTGATTTTTTAAAAGGTATGAAGTG